AACTGATTAATTTCAAAAACTTATTTTAAATAATATAAAATAATAAAAACATTTTTTATTTTAAATGCCATGGGTGGGAACAGCTCGGTACGACCATCGCCCCACCATCGCCCCAGGGTCCCACCACAACTCACGAGGACGTGCCTGACACCACGGAGACGTGCGTTCAGGTTAAATATTACATTATTCCATATTACTAGGTGTATGAATGCTATTAAAAAAACGACGAAAAAATTTCATAAAAAAATTTAGTGCGTTATCACACACACCAAAGCATACACACTCACACGCACGCGGCTCACACGATGTCGACAGTCTTATCGCGTGTGCGTTTAAGCGGCTACGACGTCTATATAGACTATACTATTATACAATAATAATAATATAATGTAAGCACATATCGACGACGATTATTATTATTATTATTATTATTATTATCATAATTTAACGCGACTTTATCATTATTATTATTGTTGTAATTGTCAATAATAATTATAATCGCGTCGTGAGTGTGTGGACTGGCGGTTTTTTTATTTTATCGCAAACCTTTTCCATCGCCGGCCTCTCCGTGCGACAGACTCGCGTATCACTGTACGATCGGTCGGCTGGGCAGCGAAATTCGTTCGGCGCTGCAGCAGGCGTCAAGTCCTCGCCGGTCGTAAACCATATACCACATTACCATATAATATATCAAACGCGTGTTCGAAACTAAATCATAATAACAATATAGCCCGTCTCCGTTTCGCCGCCGTCCGCGCCCGGGAAATCGTATATATATATATATTGTTATAATAATATAATAGTATTGTTATAATAATAATAATATATAAACGCTCTCGTGGTTTGACCGAACACCGTGGTGCGAAAATAAACTTAGGCGGACGGCGGCCGACCTCTTGTGCAGCATCGCTTGCTCCAGCTATAGAAGATTATTGTGACACCCACCCGACACCGTCTGTTTCCGTTTCCGATTTATATCGATCGCCGTTGTTTCGTGCCGTCACTCGTATTGCCACTGCTTCAGGAGGTGCTGGCTCCGCTGGTCGTCTTCTTCATTTTAAGGTAGAGGTAACGTTAGAAAAATAAACACCCCAATCCCTCCCTAAAAACAAAGGCGAGTGCACTTTCTATCGTTATTTTAGTTTTGTGCGTTACTATACTTTTATAATGTTATACTCGCATGGCAGACAGACGTCCTTAAGAATTCTAGTGATAGACGCCCGAGGGTAGTTATTAATTCTAAATATTTCACAGACGTGAGTGATAGCTTAGGTTTTGATTTCGCATGTACTGGTTCTCGTATAGGAAACCGATGTGATCGATGCTGACGGACAGAAACCTTGCCGTAATGAAGATAATTTGAATAGTGTAGAACAATAATGCTAAGTTCTTGATTTTCAAAACAAAAATATTATAACACTCGCGAGTACTCGAATGTCCACAATTCCTTATAACGATATTATGCATAAAACCAAATCAATGATGATAATAATTCCTTAGCTGTGTAATTTATTGCAATATTTTAAATTTACAATATTATAGTTGGACCAACATTAGGTTAGGTTAACGATCATCGATTTGTTTCAGTTGTAAATTTATGATACAGAATTTGAGCATGTTAGTGAATATAATATTATGACGTTTACGTGTTTTTTCTTTTTGTTTTAAATTAAATGACACATTATACTCACAACATTACCTAATTAAAATATAGTCTTAACTTTTAACCAACAAAAGCTGTCCAATATAAATTGTGTATAATGTTATATTATTAACGTCATTTTACACAATAATAATAGTTTATTGTTTATTTTTAATTTTAATCAAATTTTTTAAGAAAATGAGTAACATATAATTTTAGAATATAACTATTTTACATTTTGCGTCGTCACTTTAATTATACTTAAACGCTCAACTTTTTAAAAACTTAACTTAAATATACTCCTATACGTACCTACAACCTGCATTACTCAGTTGTTATATTAAAGTGATAGCCACATAACGTGATTAGTGATTGTTAAGTTATATAACTATATTATAATATTAAGGTCTATCATACAAAAGACTAAAATGATGGTTTTAATAGACCTCGTTATAATTTCGATTTTAATGAAATGCTACACACGTTATACTCTGTAGATAAGTCACAAAATCGCATTATCGCATCATTCAAAAGTCATTAATTTTAGTCAATTATTACAGAAGTTATATTATTTTACATTCATATCCAACACCTCGCATAACGTAAAGGTTAACAATATAATTATTGAATTGATTTGAAATATTCTTGATTTTCATCATATTTTCAAGTGATACTTAATTTTTTTTTTTTAATATTTTATAATGGCTTGTTTATTTTATACAAAAACTCTACACAAAATTCACAATGAATATATACATAAAATACGTATTATAAACAAAGCACATTATTCCAAAAAAGTATTTATTATAAGTAATTCGTTATTGAAGATTAAAATTATTGGTTTCATTTTAAAATAATTGGCTTATTTTCGATTTTTTACTCACTATACCTAATAACGTTTACTTCTAGGTGTATGATTAGTTTTATCGTGGGAAAATGCGATAAATACTTTGAGTTAACGATTCGTATTTAATAGTACATAATGGCGAAGGCGTGGTGATTTTTACATACACTATAGTATATTAATTTATTCCCTTTAAAGAAAAAAAAATGTATGTCCACACTGATGCCACAAACCTATGCCATTGCAGCTCCTGTTGTGCTTGAAATGTGTTAAATATCTTGTAGGTACAAGCAATTGCAGCAATAGCGCAGTGTCAAAATATTAATTATTGTTTAATTGTTAAAAATTAAATGCAAGAAAGCCTTGATAATAGTATTGTATTTAACAATCGCGTTCCACTTATAATTATTAACGTTAATCTTAATAAATTACAGTCAGTTAACAAATATACAATTGTTGATTCAGTCATAATAATATAATATCACTTATGGAAGACAAATGTTGCTATTAAACCTAAGCCTAACAATAGTTGTAGGTACCTATATAGGCATGTCAATATCTATTATAAGTGTAAAAAAAATACTAAAGAATTGGTATCATATATTTTTCTGCAGCATGATGAAAGATGATAATAGAATATTATTTATCACGAGCTGGCGTGTTGTGTAACACTAACAATTATCACACACGGTTTCACGAAAACCATAAAACTTATTAGAGTTGAATTTTTCTATAAAATTCTACGGTACGGTTTTATCACATTGGTGTATGAATCATGCTTGGGAATTTTCACAATGCATTCTTATGTACTATTGCACTGCAGTTCAATTTATTAAAACGGAGTGAGGTAGACATTTAACGGTACATAAATATTTTTCATTAAACGCGAGTTTTAATCATACCTACTAAGCTCAATAATAATATTATAATATTTATACCGATCGGATTATGAAGACGCATATATTATTTTAATGTGTAGGTACACTATAATATCATTAGATTAATAGTTTAATTATTGTTAATCAATAAAATTTTATTGAATAATGGAAGTAAACAGTATAGGGTCTATTAAGTATGACTATATTTTTTTATGTTCATACACGATTGGACATGTTTAATCTACCGTACAGTAGATACTCCTGTATAAATGAGTACATAACGTGTTCTTACTGCGATAAAGTTAAAATAGGTAAAATATTACAAATTCGTTGTATTTAATATTAGAAATAATCGAAATCCGTGTGGAACTTGGTGATATAAATTTAAAATTCACAGTAATTATATTATAGAAAAGTGGTCAATTTTTCTGATAAAAAAAAACTGTAATCTTAGGTTGAACGCTGTAAACTTCCTGAAAAACCAATTTTTTTTCTTAATCAAGTTTTTTTATTATATTTAATATTTTTAGGTTTTAGAAGTGTAAATCATAAACGATAATAAACTATAATATTATAGTTGAATAATTTGTGTTAAAACCAATTACGGTATAGTGGTGGTGGTTCGCGATAAACTTGCTATACTCTGTGTATTGATCGTTGTTATCCTTTAGGCTGTTGTAAAATATTATTATGTTATATAATATTGTTCTGTCACGATTACCGGCCCAGTTCGACAGCAGACACCGGAAGCGGACTCAAATCCGAAAATTAAATGTAGATCATAAGTATCGATTCTTCCCATCTCACCTGGTCATCAATTATAATCCACTGTCAATTTCCACGTCCGTTCTTCCCCCCGACTTAGAGTGCCTACCAACATTCCCCTCATAACTATGCTATCCATGGTATGTCAGCTTTGAACGTCTCCAAGTCCATCTACTATGTATATTTTTATAAAGGTGCAAAGAAATTACCGGATGAATATTTGACAAATCATTTTCCCTATCGTGACAGAAAATTGAAAAAAAATCAATTACAATTTAATTTATTATAAAATGATAGATGGATATGCGCATTCAATACATTTCTTGTAGAACAATAATTTATTTTTTAAACTTTCTGTAAAAAAAAATGTTTCCATCTTGTGTTTGGTATCGAAAATTCACAACTAATGCAATTCGACGACACGATACTATAGTAATAATAATAATATGGAAATGTTTATTTTACACTTGTTTTAATTATTCTTCTAACACATTTGTCTTGAGCGTAGAATAAATTGCCTAACTTAACTCCTTAAAAATTGTGTTTCTGTGTATAATGTATGTTGTGTGTTATATTAATATCTACTGCATCACATAATATATCAAAAATATCAATCAATCTATTTCTTTTACGATTTTAACTAACATAATATAATTACGTACAACTACAGTTACCCTTATAATTATTATTATATTATACTATATTTATTATAGGTAACCAAAGATGTGCCAAATTTGTTTTCAAACCACTACTGTATAAATTAAATTTTATTATTTAGTCTCATCATTTAAAAGAGTGTACAATTAATATTATACTGTTAAACGTTTTCTAAAACAAAAATTAATTTATTAACCTAATGAATTGTTTTAAGGTGCCGTCGGGCCAGATTCAGCCAAGATGACCTCCTGGGATTCATATCTAGCAGTAGCAACGTTCCTGTCATCACCTGAAGAATTTATGGGATGGTTCGTCGGATTCGTTTCCCTATTCAGTACAAACCTCTTAAGACCACTGAGGCTAGCGTTAACATCATCTAACAAAAATGCAACCAAGAAGTAAGAAGAAATATATTTAGTCAAAAATAAAAATAATTCTTATTTGAGTAAAGAATGCATTAAAAATTCAATTAAATCAAATACGTAATCCTCGATTAATTTTTACTCTTTAAATTAATAAAAGAAAAACACTGTTTTCTTATTTAATTTACTAATCCTCTTTCAAACGTTTCGTATTTGTATTTGCGAGTGAATTTTTAATGTAGACACCAATCGAAAGAAAAATTTAAAGAAAAGATAAATTTTACACAATATTAAATGTCAGTCATATTATACCGTTATGGTATTATAGGCTTTGATTTTATACTTCATGGCCGGAAATCGGGTTTACTTGATTAGGGAAATTTTAGCCCTCTAATATTTTAAATTTTTAAAATACCTAAATTTAAAAAACAAATGATTCATCGCTTCTTTTGTAAAACATTGTAATGGTTTAAAAAGATAATACTGCAAAAGCATTGTTTTTAATACATATTTAAGATTTTAAGCGGATTGAGAAATGTATTTGTTCTACAATGATTGATAGTGTAATTACTTTAATCATTTTTTCTCTATCATCACGTTGAGGGTGGTTTCTGGTAGAATTTCCGATTGAACTTCTACTAAGGATTCCTTGAGGGGCGCTTGGAAGACTATTGTGATGACTGATTGGGAGGGGGGCTCAGCCTGTGAAACTTCCCCCGATTTCCGCCAGTGATAATACTTATTAGTCCAGTTGTATCTCTGGACATTTACATATACACAATACGGGTCAGCCGTAAGTTAACAATCACTCCAATATTATCATTCATCATCATCATCATCATCATCATTGTCCATTACCATCGTAGTGTTATTATAATAATATACTCTGCACACACGACTATTTAACATCATAATAATTTAGAATACCTATTTTATCATAATAATAATAATAATAATAATAATTTGCTTCGAATATGTGCGCCGACCATCGATGTGGGTATGCAATGCAAGTCACGCGCTTCTGCACGTGTGGAAGCATACCGCGTTATTGCCGGCTCATAACGGATGAAACAATTTTTGCCAATAATTAATACCCAGGTGTTTTCAATAAAATAATGCTTAAACGTTTTTGTTTTTTAAAAAATAAAAATAAATAATAGTATCATGCCCATTAATAAATTTTGTTATTGTAAATAATAATAAATTCTAAAAAAAATTTGATAAGTATTTTATTACAAATACATATACTTATTTTAATAATTGCCACGGCGGTACCTATATGTTCAGTTATAGTCGGAATAGGTACATAATATAATATTATTTCGTTTTAAAATTGAATAATTTATTTGAAACATCATCTGTGGACAGGTAGCCTTCATGATTATATGATTGAAATATTTTCGGACCGATTAAATTGAAATATGTTATATTTTTCAATACAATGGGTTCCTAGATTTATTATTTGCTAAATTGTTATGCCCGTTCAATCTACTTTTATAGTTACATATTATATCTCCAAGTTGTGAGTTATTGATTTTTCAAAAACAATATATCTCAAACGTGGAGTATGACTGATGATATTAGACTTTTACGGATATTACCAGTCAAGTTGTGGCATATAATGTAAACATAAATTTTCTGAATCCCTATCAAATTACGAAGTATGAGGTATTAAAACTTAATAGTAAGACTATATCGATAAAAGAGTAATTCGAGCGCCAGCTGTTGTGAGGAATAATGGAGAAATGCTTAAAAACGATTAAGATTTTAATAAGCATTTACACTAAAATATCAATTTTACAGTTTTACATTTAGTGTCAACAATTCCGAAAATAATAGTTTCATTTTTTCTGTGTGAGAAGAAAAATTACAAAAACAATAACGAAACCTTAAAACTTATCACAATATAACATTTTGAAGGTTAACGACACTTAACTTTTTCTGTAATCCATAAAAGCTGTTAAAAAAAACAACTTTTAAATATTATACTATGTTTTTATGTAGGTATTTATAACAATAATGCGACAACTATGAAATAAACAGTCGTAAATAAAACTCGTAAATTATGATTTATAGTTTTTACCTTTTACTCAAATACGATTTTAATACAACTAATCAATTTTAATTGGATTAACTTGTTTTGCTTATAGAACTAATTAAGTATTTTTTTTAAAAAAACATAGTTTTATTTTATGAACAATTTAATGAACAATATAGTTGACAACAAAAACAGTTTTTCAAAAGTAAAAAAAAACAAATGTGGTAATGTCGTACGTAGGTACTTAAATAATTTAAGACTGGACATGTTAGATAATATGAACAAGTCTAAAGCTAAACTTTAAATAAGAAGGTGATAAATGATAATATAACAACCATTATAATACGTGTTTTTTTTTGTATTCATTTTACGAGAGTTAAGTTAAAATATCATAGAAAATGATTATCTTCACATTTGGAAAAACAAACATACCTATTTACATATACTTGCACATTGTGAATGTGCACCTACATAATATTTTAAATTAGGAAAATTATACGTTTACGTAATAACACGCAATTTAATGTAGGTTAAATAGGTACTTAGAATCGTAAAAGATTAAATTATTTTATTAAATATGTAAGTCTTACAACGAATGTATATATGTTATTACTTCATGGTTTAATCTATCTTTCCGTAGTTAAGTTACACACTAAACTAATATACCAAAAACACTGATATTTTATTTAAAAACCTTATTGAATGATTAATAAGTTATTTGATAAAATGTATTTATTAATTATGTCAGTCATGTCTTATAGAGCTTAATATTATGTTTAACGTAGGTACTTAAAAGATTAATAATTATTTTATAGAAAAATAAATGATTAATATTATAGTTTATAGGATTTGGCTATTCTATCAAAATGCTTTAAAACATAACTGGGCCATAAATTACATTGTATTTAGACATTATAATCAAATATAAAATTGTATTAGGTATCAAGTTTAAATTCCACATAAAAAAGTGGCTGTAATTTAAAATAAGACCATCCATAGCCTGTAGGTAATTATTTCCACTTATAGGCGTAATCTAGTTGATGGGGTGGCAAGGGGGGAAACTGCCCCCCAGTTATTTAACTAACTGGCCAATAATGTAGTTTTACCCTATAGATTTTTAGTTTTACAACAGATTCCCCTCCCCCAAGAATTTACCCCAGATTACGCCTATGTTTTCATGTATAGCTACTATAGTTTCTTAAATGCTTAATAATAGTATATTGGTTCAACCCCCCCTCCCCCCATTGGTTTTTTTACTATTTAAAATCATAAAATTTCTATAATAACGGTTAATAATATTTTTTTTAAAGTGTTGTTTTGTGTCTTTTAATGTCATTTATAAATCGTCTAGAATTTTTTTTTTAAAAGTACTACCCAATTGAGCACCATGTCACTTTTTATCAACGAGATTGAGTACGAAAAGTGTCAACAATTATTAATTGTTTCGTAAATTTATTATAAAATACTATTATCGTGCTTAATAATAAAAAGCCTACGTGGCGCTTATAATAATATTCTTACCTTTAATTTGGTTAATTTCTTTAAATCTTTTTTTAAATATGTTTAAAAATAATTCAATAAAATGGATTATTCTGACCAAAAACTTTGCTATTTTATACCTACTTTAATAAGATTATAAATCTTATAAAAAAAATGGCTATTAATCCTTTTATTATTGATACTACGAAACACATATGTGGGTTTGACTTGCTCTTAATTGTTATTTCAGTTAATTGTGATTTGTTATACTTTCTGTAAATAAATATAAGTTTGAAATTGAATAATATTTTATGTACTCTTGAATTCACCATGTTGTCAATATATCTTATTGTTATGCCCTTAACCAAAGAAGTTATTAACAAAATTGTACGAAAAGTAATGGAATGAGTAATTTTTCTGTAACATAGATGTTACCAATAGGGAATAAGGCAATTAATAAACAAATACAAAAAAAATGCAGTATTTTTATATTCTATTCTAAACACATATACAATTATTAAATATTTACACTTTAATTTAAAGCCCTTCCTATTAGAGATTTTTAAGAATGCTTATATTTAAGACTTGAGGATTTCGGAAATAAACGTACGTTACATTATACAATATGTACAATATGTACCTCCTTATTCATCTTCTTTATCTAAATTGTTTTTGATTTTTTTACTAAAAGCTATAAACATAACCAACTTTTTTAAATGATTGTATAAATAATTTATGTTTTGAACAGTCGAGCTTTAAAGCAATCGAGATATCAAAGTGTAATTATTGTTACACACATCAGCTTTTAAAATAAAATTGTGTTTTAATATCGACATTCATATTCAGTGATGACATATTGGTGGTTATGTGCTTTTTATATTTACTTATAATTATTATTTTTTTTTTTTTTAAATTAATTATAATTGTGATTACTCCCAGTCACGTTTTTTTTTTGTCTATATTAGTGTAAGTTTGTTTTAATTTATCGAATAATCAATCAAATTAAATAAAGGAAAATAAAACAATTATATTATGCCTTTAAAATGTGATTTTATGATAGTTTTCGTTTCAAAAATATCAATAAATTCTATTCCATCGGTGTAATCATGTTTGTTGTGATACTATACAGTATATACCTACTGTAGGGCTAATGGCTATCATTCAAGGTAGAACACTATTATTACATACTGTGCAATATAATTATTTAATTTTATAATATTTGTATTAATCTGTTATTATACCTGTTTAAACTGTTTAAAGACTTAAGTTTTAAAATATAGACAGGTTAATTTCTGTATACATTATAATATAGGTCCCATATGGCCAGCCCTTACATGGTATTGCATTATGTACGATTACATACATCACAATTGATTTTAATTTCCAATTTCTTGATTATCGAATTATTAATTCTATGTCCACCTTTATTATACGTATGGTCAGCGTAATAATAAATCTATTATCATTTAATAACGATTTGGCAATTTTCATATAATTGAGTGTCACCATATTGACACAC